CATGCATGCATGCATGCATGTATGTATGTATGCATGCATGCATGCATGCATGCATGCATGCATGCATGGAATTGAATTTTGAAGCAAGGTCTTAACTGAGTCACCCCAGCTTGCCTTGGACATGCAGCAGCCCCACGAGGGGGTTATGTGTGTCCTGGCCTACATCTGTACCCGCTGCCTGAAGGCTTGCTTTTTGGATAACCAATGAGCCACTTGGAACAGGATGCTGATAACCATAATGCACTGAGGAACAAGACAAGGGAGTCACACCCAGGATGACCTGCCGCTGAATCTCTTTGCAATGTGGTATATGTTGACACCTTCACCACCACAGGCCCCGCAGGCCCATTGTGACAGAGCTAAGCCGCCAGGGGTAAACACCTCTGAAACCATGAGGCAAAAAAAATCTGTTGTCTCTTTGCTGAGTGTCTCAGGGGTCATGTGATAGAAATGTAAAGCCAGCACACTGCAGGTTCACCCACGAAGCTCCTAGCTTTGTGATTTTTAAACACGTGTGCGCGCGCGCGCGCACGCACGCACACACACATATACACTCACACACACACACACAATCTCAAAGAAGATAAAGTGACACATTTTTATGAGATAAGAAAAATAAGGAGTTTAATAATTCCAGGGGTATAGCACACACACTGCAGTAGTCAACACCGGGTGCTATTCACCAACACCGGGTTTCCTGTAGTGTCTGGATGCCCCAGGCATCCCAGGGAAGTAGGGGGATTGGCATGAAGTGCACACAGGCGCATGGACTGCAGATAAAGAGTACAATGGAGCTTCAGAGGCTGCTACATCGCAACATTGTTCAGAACGGAAAGTGCTTCACATCTACAGGGTAGGAAATGGCTTCATCCCCCTCATCCCTCAGAGAAACAGAGGAGCAACAGTTGGCGAATGGCGCCCTGGGTTGCTGGTACCAAAGCCCCACCCGAGGAGACTCGAGGAGAGAGTGGGTGTGCACAACAGTGTCGATTTTAAAAAGAACTGCTTTCAGATGCAGATTCTCACTCCCTGGAGAGCCTGGAAGACTCTGGATCCACAGAAAAAAAAGGCAGTGTGCCCACATGCAACCTCTAGCCACCCTGTCCAGGGCAGGCATGTTACAACATGAATACTCATGGAAACTCCAAGCGTATCATTAAGGCAGGTCTGTAAGAAATTGTCCTGGGGCATGGATGGTGGCCTCAGTGGTGTCGTGGCCAATGGAAAATATGGTCTTTGCTTACTCTTGACGGAGGAGCTGTACAGCAACCCCAGGCACCTGTTGCCAACAGTGGAGAGATGCAGGGAGTGTTGTTCCTGAGTTAAGGTCTACTGTGACAGCAACACACTGTCTTTTGCTGCAGTGTCTTTTGGGTCAGCAAAGTGCTTGGAAAATGGGGCTTACCAAAAAAGAATGAGAACACCTCACCTTTTCTCACTCAGCACAGACCAGTAAAATGCTAATTGGAGTGGGAGGCTCTGATGAGAGGTCTAAGTGAGCCTGAGTGATCCTGACAGACGCAAGTCACAGACACTGCAACCAGTCATGAGTGTGGAGGAAGAAGAGAACACAAAGGACCTCCCAGTGCCTGCTCAGAAACTGCCACACAGGATAGGTGAGGGGCCAGGTCCACACAGGACAGGGAGCGGGGGCTGGGTCACGTCGTAGGGAGAGGCTATGCTGAAGCCCCTGCAGCCACACTGCTACTTAACACCTTTCTATGGAAAAATTTCTCTGGCTTCAAAACAACCTCTTTGGAGGAAGGAAACAGACAGCCAAGCTCCTGAGGTCACTGTCACTTATTGCCAAACCAGAGGCAAGCCCTGGCCCAATAGAAAACAGGGCTTCTAATCCAGGCCACCTGCCTTCCAGGGCCTACCTGGGCCTAGGGAGGCAGCAGAGTAGGGCATGGCACAGCAGGGCAAAGCCCTTTGGGGCCTTCACTGTGCAGCTCAACTGCGGATATGTATTGCTTTATTCTTGCTCAAAGTGGGGAAGAGGGCTTTCCGTGGGCTGGACAATGCTGACTGCAGGGAAAGGCAAGCAGAGAACAGCTGGCCAAAAACAGCCTGCAGTCAAACCCTGCCCGGCAGCACCGGCTAGAGAATATGGAATAAATAACACATCTATATACAGGGTCTGGTTCTCTCAGGGAAGGGCCAAGCACAAGACCGACCCACTTCTCCACACTGTGACACATTCCTGTGACCCAGGGCCCAGCCAGGATGGGGCAGCAGGAGTGAGCATCCCAGGCAGATAGCAACATCACCTCCCTAGAATCCATGGTTCCCTGGGCACAGCCATAGGCCTGAGACAGGAATACTGCAGTTAAGAAGGGGATGGTGACCCAAACGCTCACTGAGCCCAAGTGGGGCGCTCCTGATGGCACTGCAGAGCCTGCATTGTGTGGAACAAGCCAGTCGCCCAGGCATCTATTGCTTCACCCTTCTGCTCCCAACACTTCGAGAATATAACTTCCAGTCCCTGTGGTCAGAATGGCTGAGGAGGAAATCCTAGCAAGAGGGTTAGCCCAGTCACATCGTGGGTATGCGTTCTGAGGTCAGTATTTACAAGTACACAGGTATGCTATTTATAGATTCAACTCAAGTCCAAATGCCAGAGGACTCTGGTCAGTCACTGCATGGAGAAGTTGGCAGACATATGCTCAGTCCAGGTCTCAGTGTTATACTTCACGCATAACTACATCAGCAACAACCCGATGAAGACCACCTGCCTTAGTCCTGAATATCCCTGTGCTTGGGCCGAGGACCACAGCCTTGTCTGGGAACTGCTGGTCTTCGGCCTATGAGAAGGTCGGCCTATAGATTGGTTTCATCCCAAGCAGGGTCGTTCATGTTCTTTAGAACCTTCCTCACCAACTTCTCTAGGTCCTTGCGGGCCCTCTGCTCCTCCTCTAAGGACTTCTTCATCTTCTTGTTATCCTGCAAGGCAAGCAGAGGACAGCAGATTCACCACCTCGGCCCCTCCAGTGCCCGCATCCCAGCTGCATTCTTAAGTAGCCCTACCAGTTTGGCAGGGGCTGGTCAAAAGAACTGAGCCATGAATGTACACTGAGGTACACTGGGCAGTCTCCCACTTACTCTCACTAACAAGACAACTTTATAAAACATGCCACAAGGAAGGGGCTGGGAACAGTGACAAGGACAATGTCTACAAACCTACCACTAGCATTTTTTAATTCCCCTGTCCAGTCAAATGCAGAAAAGAAGCAACAGCAACTGAATAGACCATGTCACGAAGGAAGAAAACTGTGCTGCTGGAACACACGTGAGCCAGCAGGCACTACCTCCTGTCCAGTTACTTCACCCTCACGGCAGTCCTGCCCTGTTCCTCAAAAGTGCCTGCAACTCCACACCCTCCTCCTAACCTGCCCAACAGCTGTTAATCATACACAGCACACAATTTTTCAGCAGATGACAGTGCCCGCAGTGCAAGCCAGGTGATCTGAGTCTCATTCCCAGATACACACGTGGAAGAAGAGAACCAATTCCACAAGGCTGTCATCTGACCTCCACACATATGCTATGGCAAGTGCCCCACCCCACAATATACACACACTAAATAATAAAAAACAACTTGAGAGTTAAAAAAAAAATACTGTCCTGCTGTCCTAGATTTTTGAAGTCAAGTAGCTAGTACCATAAATTACTCCAGCAAAGCCCAAAGTGTCTCGCATCCAAACAGTAGTGCCACAGAAACAAATATTTTCTGGACTGTCATTCTTGTATTTTGAAATAATGATTTAAAGAAATCTTTTGTTTCTAGATTTATGTGTATGGGTGTTTTCCTGCATGTGTGTCTGTGTACCATGTACACAAAGTACCCAAAGAAGTCAGAGGAAGGCATCAGATATCCCAGGATTGAAATTAGTATATGGTTGTGAGCTGCCATATAGATTCTGGAAACTGAACTTGGGGCCTCAGGAAGAACAAGTACCCTTAACTACTGAGCCATCTCTAGCCCTTGCCTGTCACTCTTAAGTACTGAGCCATCTCTAGCCCTTGCCTGTCTCTCTTAAGTACTGAGCCATCTCTAGCCCTTGCCTGTCACTCTTTTTTTTTTTTTTTTTTTCCCTTGGTTTTTTTTCGAGACAGGGTTTCTCTGTGGCTTTGGAGGCTGTCCTGGAACTAGCTCTTGTAGACCAGGCTGGTCTCGAACTCACAGAGATCCACCTGCCTCTGCCTCCCAAGTGCTGGGATTAAAGGCGTGTGCCATCAACGCCCGGCCTTGCCTGTCTCTCTTAAGTACTGAGCCATCTCTAGCCCTTACATGTTTCTCTTAAGTAAGGCTGGTAGCTTTGTGATTTCCTTTTAGTCCACAATGAGCTTCATGTTTAAAACAGTATTTCCCCTTTTCTCCCATTAAAAAAACAAAACAAACAAACAAAAAAACCTGATTAAAACTAAAATGTGATTGGCATACCTGTCTTAACTCTTGGACTTCATCCTTTAGTGCGTACACCGTGTCCACAAGGCTCCTGGAACAGCAAAGAGTATGTGCATGAAAGGTGGTAGTATGCTAAGGATGCAGGAGGCAGGGCCTCCGGGGCTACCTTGGACAGCAGAGAGACGGGCTCTGCCTACTCAGTCTCCTTGTCTAAATTCTTAACCGGAAAAGCCCGCCTGGCTATCTCAGGCTAACCTCCAGCCTAGGTCATCACCCATCAGTGAGCCTGCACCCAGCCTCCAGCAGAGTTCAGACTGTACTAACAGGAGGGGAAGAGAGATAGGAGCCAGCCCTATAGAAAGGAAAACACCTTACTTTTCCTCTATCACGGTCTGCCCGTTGCTTTTGGTTTCTTCAACTATAATTTTTTCTTCTTCTGGAAGCAACACTTGAGGAGCCGATTCTTTACGTGAACCTGGTCATTAAAAAGAAAGGTCCTAAGTGAGTGCCACAGCAGGACCAAGAAAGAGTACCTACTTTATTACATGTCACTTATACACCCAAGGCTAGTGACTACACATTAAAATCTTTGACCAGTTTTCTCCAGCTGTCTGTTGGGTGTGGCCAACAAAGCATTTCAGAGGAAAGGAAACAGCAACAGAAAAAAATATAAAAATAGCCTCTTCTACTATGGAAATTTCTAACAGCAAGTTCATTAGAGGTCTGACCACATTGCATTCAATACACAACCAAATTTAAACCATTGCATCATTCCAGCATCGCTGGAAAGACCAGACCAGGAAAGAATATGTGATTCTTGTGCATGTAAACGAAAAACTCTAGAAATTACCTCTGGAGAGGTCGCTCAGTGTTAAGGGCTAAAATTAACAGCTGAAACATCAAGAGAAGACTGTGCATGCACAGTAACATCTATACAATTATAATATTGTAACATGTAGTTTAGAAAAGGTGAAATTTATTGTCTCATACTGTGAAAAATCTCTCAGTCCCCTTGGACACCCACAGCTTTGAATGCGAAGGAAGCAAACTTCCCACAGCATCAGAGGCACGTGGTCCTGGCATAGGTGCTGACTGGTGACCGCCTCATGTAACAGCATTGTGCAACACAGACACTGGCCTTGAAAGGGCAGGTACCAGGAAGAAGGATTACATAATGTGATTATGAGCATTCTGCTTATGAGCACCACTACTGGATGCAAACTGGAGGAAGGATAGGTTCTGCCGTACAACAGGCACACCTGCTCACGGCTGTGCTTATCTGAATGCTCTGCTGAGGAAAGCACAGGGCATGAGGTAAAATGACTGACTGTGGAAATGGGGTTAATTTGCTTTTGTGTTTCCGGGATGCCCTCTCTATGTCTTCCTGAAAGCACATCAGATTTTAAGGAGCACTTCTTGTGGTATGGAAACCCTACCCACAGTGTTTGAGAGACGGCACTGTGAAGAGTAGTTTTGCAGGAAATTTAACCCAAGCCTGTGCTTCTCTGAACAAACAGAGGTGAGCCACTGCTGTCTAAGCTGACAGCAAGGGCTTATGAACTGTCCCTGGCAAGCGCTAGCTATCCAGGGAACTATGGGGCCTGGAAGACTGTGGCCTCAGGTCCATCTCCCCAGGCCATCTTCTGTGGATCTGCCAAGTCTGTTGCACTGGAAGGTGCTGGACCAAGCCCAGGATGGCAAGAGCTGGAAATACCTTGGGGAGCTCAGGAGCGGCAATCCAGCCAGGTCTACGTCATACAGCACAGTTTTGCCAGTGAAAGAAGTGGCAGGCGTGTGGTGAGGTAGCCCAGCCTGAACTACCATGTGAATAGGTGAAAGGCTGTCAATGTCCTGGTTTGTTCTGAGTACATGCACATGTCACTTTGTGAAAGACTGTCCACAGATGGCCACCCCACTCTTGGAGGGGGTTCATCAACAGGCTCTGGTGAGGCCATACCATCTACCTTTCCCTCAGTGCCCCAAGTCCTGGAGCTGCAGGGCTTTAAGATGCAGAGAAACATGTTTTTAAAAACCACTAGCAGGCCAGGCAGTGGTGGTGCACACCTTTAATCCCAGCACTCAGGAGGCAGAGGCAGGTAGATCTCTGTGAGTTCGAGACCAGTCTGGTCTACAAGAGCTAGTTCCAGGACGGTCTCCAAAGCCACAGAGAAACCCTGTCTTGAAAAAAAACAAAAACAAAACAATAAAACCACTAGCAGGCTGACAATGTCAGCCCTACCCCACCCTACCCCACCCCATGCAGGGTCCAACTGACAGGCAGACGTCCCTTCTGGACAGCCTCCTTGATATGGCAGGAGGCCACTCAGGCTCCTCTTCTGTTGACCACTGATAGACATATGGGTCACTCAGGGAAATACAAGAGAAAGTGCCAGGTGCGTGTTCACCTGTACCTCCCACATGAGGGCAGGTGTCTACTGTCTTTACAAGTGAGTGCATGCTCACTGTGCCCAGAAAAATGAAGGTTTCAATAATTCCGGTGTGTCAGCGTGGACCCACGCTCCTTGGTGAAGAAAGGCAGCCAGGAACAGCACTTGAGTTAGCTTCGCAGGTATCCACCAGTATCCAGCAGCCAAGTATACTGCTTGGGCTAATAGCTAGTGACTGAGTTAGCATCAAATTAAGAAGTCTTGGTGACTACTCTGTCACACTAAACTCAACAGAGGCTTGAGAAGGACCAGCAGTTGAGAACTGAGGCCTCAGACAGCATCAGGCAGCAGTCAACACACTTGCTTTCAGTTCTTTAGTCTTTTCTCCCAGGACAACCTAGCACTAAAGCTTCCAGACTGCGTAAATGACACAAAGGGTGTCACTGCAAAGCAAGAGAGGAGCCATGACACCCACAGCAGCCTCACTGAGGACACTTCCTGGGAGTTGACCTTTCAGTTTAATCATGGAGTCTCCGCTTACTACTTGGGAGTTCAAAGGGGCAACCTTCTCTATAGAGCCATTCTTAGAGGCAAACAGTCTAAAAGTCAGCTCTTACCAACGAAGTTATTAAGTATACTAATTAACACAACGGATTTGAGGAACTAAAACTCTATGGCCCAGTTGTCAGTTGAAAGCACATGACAGGGCCTTGGATGCACAACTGCTGTGTGCACAAGGCACTCAAGAATTAGAAGTCTGAGTATGGGACCATGTTCCTGGTAGAAGGTCCCATTGCTCCAGCTCTGACACAGGCAAGGGGAACAGTCACTGGAGGCCCTGTCGGCAAGTCATGGGCATGCAATGGGGACTGTTAATCTGTGCCAACAGATAACTGCCAGCTCACCACCTGCCACCTTTCAACAGAACACATTTCTAAAATGACTCTTTAAAAACACAAAGCCTTACAACAAAGCAATGAAGGATAGCATGGCCAGGTTTGTAAGTTAGTGGACTATTTTAAAAACTTTAAGTTTTCTAAAAAACATTCCATCTGGAATATTCTTACTGGCATCACAGCACTTTTCTTGAACACCTAAATGGAATATTCTTAGTGGTATCACAGCACACTCTTTTTGAACACCTAACTCAGAAAAACCATGCAATCACAGAACCTAGCACTCTACTTAAAATCTCACCACAGGAACTGGGACCCATTAGCACACTGTGAAGGCTCTGCACAGTAAAGAGCTGTGTGTTTGCACACTGGTCTTTGGGGAGATAGAGTCAGGATCTGATGCTGCTGTTTCCTGAAAGGCTGCATGCCCAAGTTCACAGTGCACTTCTAGCACACTGAGGGCTTGGGGGAAGGCAGACTTTATCAATCCACCCAGACTCCTTGTCTAACCAGAGGACTTTTGTGGTTTTATGGCTAACAGTGTGAGAAGTGCCGGTAGCCCAGAGACCCTACAAAGCTATCATTCTGCCCACACCATTAGGATTCCCATGTGCAAGTATAGTTTAAAAAAAACACGCAGATAACAGAATAGTTTACAATCAGTCCCAACCTAGCACTTCTCGACTGAACTCTCCAGGAATAAACTTGCAGGTGTGGCTTACTAACCTCACGTCCTCTGAGTGATGATTTTACAAGGTCACCCTTTGAGGAAACTGGGATGTTGGGGATGCCAGCAGGTTCTAGGTCCTATGGCAACACCCACTCACAGATGTGATTCAAGACTGGGAACATGTTCACAGCAACAGAAACACAAGAGTCAAACACTAGTAGTCTCAAAATCCTGCCCTGCATCATCAAAGACCACCAGGCTGTGGGCCTTGGTGGAGAAAAACAGATCTAACCAAGGAATCAAATTTAGACTAGACTGTGCCTAGGCTGCCATAGCTGAGGATGACCCCAGGGCACTCCCTCCAGGGACCATGGGGTGACATACAGCTGGGTGACTCAACAATAACCAGGTCAGCTGTCAACCTCATGCCCTGAGGTATGGTTAAGTATGTGGGCATGCACATGTGTGTTAGCCTGCACCCATAGCAATGACTACATGTGTGTTAGCCTGTACCCAAAGCATGACTATCTGTCTGTCTCGATGAAGCATCAACTATTTGGGCAGTGGCTGACTTGTGACATGTTCCTCCATCATTTACACTAGTCTGGCACTACTCTCAAGATGAAACAAATCATAACACTTAAGAGATCTCTTCAGTAGCATCCAAATCACACGGGCTGCATTGTCTATGGGCCTGATATTTGGATTAGCTTTTTTCAAAGGAAAAGAAGGGCTGTCACCAGGAATGGCTTCTTTCTCTTCTGAACTAGGCATGCACTTTGCAAAACAAAAGACAAATGCCTGCCCTGGTCCATATGAAGGACTTCAAAGCTGAGCTGCTTTTCACTTGTGAGAAGCCTGAAAGAACAGGGAGATGGGAAGGAAACAGCTGGGCCTCTAGGGAGGAAGAAGCGGGCAGTGCTGTGAGTTCCAGGCCAGCCAGGGCTACATAGAAAGACCCTGCCTTGTACTATTTTAGACTTTACATCCCACCTAAGAAAGCGCTAGACCTCTATCATGGCAGACATAAGGCATGCCTATGGAAGATGCCTGCTTGACAGAATGGCCACGGCATACTCAGCTTGAAACTACGCTATTCCCCTTCCCCATGTAACAAATATAAAAGCCAAGGGCTAACAAATGCAAAATTTATTTCAACTGTACAGAACAGATGTCTTTTTAATATAAAACAGACACTTCATTGCCATATGCAACCACAGACAATAAGCATACTGTACAATACAATGCAACATTCAGATATACATCCAAGTGAATTTTCAAATGGGAGTCTTGTACTAAAATGGCTTTTCCCATTCACAGATAAAACAGCACAATATATAGATTTCCCCAGGATCTTATACCACTATATACACATTATTGTGTTTTGGCAATTTTATGCCGAACACAGAGTTAACGTAGCTTAGTAAAGACTTGTGGCGAGGACGGGTTGACAGGAACACTGCTGGGCCACCTGCAGGTGGCCCACTGGGATGGCTTGGACCTACCTTCTCGCTCAGTCTGCATTCTTCTGTTATCACACTCACTGTACACGGCTTTACAGAGCTGCAGAACCGTTAGGTACTATCAGCATGACTACAGCTCCACAAACGTAGAGACGATGGCCCCTCCAACGCCGTGTCCCCTCTGCCACACGAGGACCATCTCCTGTGCCGGTGGCACTAACAAACTTCTAACCAGGTCACAAAACCAATGTCAGACATTCAAAACAAATGCAAAGAAAGAAAAGTTTGGGGTTTTGGACCACAGCATTGGCCTCAAAAAAAAAAAAAAAAAAAAAAAAAAAAAAAAAAAAAAAAACCACCATCCAAACGGCTCTGACTGGAGGGCAAACCATCAGAACTTTGCTTAACAATACAGACCGAGATGTCTCCTTAAGACAGCCAGTGTCACTTCACTTGGTGTTAAGAGAAAACCTCGAGTATAGCTGTGCCTCCCTGTTGTATCACACGGACTGACAGGCAACCCATGCTAAGGTAAGGCAAGGGCAAGCAGCCTGAGGCAGAGTCAGCAAAGACAACCACAGAACGGGCTATGACAGCAGAGCCGTTTCTGTCACTGTATGGAATCAAATAAACATAGACATTTCATGTTTTGTTTTTCAAAAATCCCATTTGCTACTTGGCAGAGTCTACACAAACCTCATTTCTACTGGAAATTAACACTGGGTGCAAGTTTTAAAAGCTTGCTTCTTGACTTTCTTATAAAAACCCAAACTCTTGGGGGTGGGGGAGCATAAGCAGCTCTGTAGCCACAAGGAACAGGCAGACTTGGTGTGGGTAGCTATGCTGCCCAGCGGCTCCAGGTCATCCCTCCCGCCATGCACACACTCCTCCATTAGCAGCAGCAGGATCCAGCTCCCAAGACAGGGAGCAAAGGGGAGACAATACTGTATACAAGGGCTTGGCAAGGAGGGTTAGGGGTCAGAGGTCATGGCCACTAGAGCTCCATACCCTGAAGGATGGAAAGAACATCATCTGTGGCACCGTTTCTGAAGCAGATGTCAATCTACACTTTGTAGACAGTGCTGCCCCTCAAGCAATAGCCAGGTGTGGTCTGCTGCTACAACTGAACGCAACATCACATTCAGTTGTTTCTTGGTGCCAGTGAAAATTCCATACAACAAACTCCAGGGGGCTGAGGGGCTGTTCCCAGGCTCGCACGTGAGAACCTGCTCAGTCTTCAAGACTGCAATATAATGAAGTACCAGGGTGAACTACAGGGCTGCTGGAAACGGAGTTTCACTGCAGCTAGTAGCCAAAGCAACAAGGTGCTCATGGCTCTCACAGATAGCGTAAGTATGGATGTGGGGCAGCCAGGTTGCAGCCAAGCAGTCAACCAAGCACTTCTCTGAACACAGCTGGGCTATACTGGCAGAGACCACAGCATCCACCTCCGCGTGCAGACTGGACAGTGCCTTGTACTAGCAATCACTGCATTTCAGGGAAGTGTGGTGTAATGGTTAAGTGGATGTTCAACTCGGCTGCGATGGTGAACTCACCTTTAGAAGGAGAGCTACCACCTCAGAGCCATGGCGCACACATGAAAAGGCACAGAGCAATGGGTGGAGACAGACTGCAGGCTCTGCTCTCAACACCCAATGGCGCCAGCCCTGGTGTGCATCTGCCAGGCCCAGAGTCCATGTAGCTTTCTGCACCATCACCAAAGCAGCTGCCAGCTGCCAGCTGCCAGCTGGCTTGGTGCTTCAGGTACTGACACTCCACTCAATCTCTCCACAGCTACTTGGTCAAGTGCATTATACGTTAAAAAAAAAAAAAAAAAAAAAAAAAAAAAAAAAATTAGATCCCTATGTGTAAGGCTAGAGTCTCCTCCGTTGTGGCACTTGGACGCAAACCTGTGCGGTTGCATAAACTAGAAAAGTGTCCATACGGCTGTATCCAAAAGGAAGTGAAACAGTTGCTACATGGAGAATTAAAAAAACCAAACCATCTGGGGTTTGTATAAAACACTCCTTGATGGGAAAAGCCCCTTGGGTACAGACTAGCTGGACCCACCACCTCCCACCAACAGGCAGCAGTCTGAATGCATTCTCAGATTGGCAATTGAGCCTCCACTAGGTACAATGGGAAATACCAAGACACTCTCCAGAGTTGTTAAAATATCACATAAGAGAGACAAGGAACAGCAAGAAACGTCTAAGAAAAGCAGGCTGCGATACAAGCATTGTTAAGAAAGGCTCAGTGCGTTAGTTAGTTCTGGTGAGAGATATATGAGCAGCAGCTCTTACGGGATGCAGAACCCATTCTGTAACTATGGGCTGTCCATATACTGTCATACTCAGAGTCTTCCGAGAGGTCTGAGGGCTCCAAACGAGAAAGGCTACTGCGACGACCCAAGGAGTCTAGACTTGATTGGTCGTCATCAGCCAAGACGTGATTATGCATCAGGTCAGTGCCTTGCCATGCTAAGACGGATGAAGTGACAGGTGCGACAGGCAGAGGGGATGAGGAAGGACGGACAGGAAGAGCCACAACCAAAACATGGAACAAAAGCAAAAGGTGATGGGAAGAGAAGGGAAAGAGAAAATATTGTTAAAAAATGGCAATATGTTTGTTTCTCCTTATTAACTGCTGGGGCTTTTATAATGAACTTAGCACCCTCAGAACAAACCCAACCCATCATTTCAGTAAGCCCCGATCATAGTCCTGATTCAAAGGCTTCACTTAAGATACCTATATATCTTGGCTAAAAAACTACATAGTACATTCATGTCTAAAACATGATTCTGTAATTCTTGGCAATTAACCAATTCTACCAACAATCTTAGGTACTAATTGTGTGGCTAACTAAGCATTGCTCCCTATTCTGAAAATGATACACTAAAAACAAAATACTTTCACAGATTTTTGTGTTACTCCTTCAGTTATCCCCTTGCCGAGACAACATACATCAGCAGCAGGAGCCTAAACTTACCGTGTTGGTCTACAACCTGCCCCAGCACCAAAGTGTGAGTGCGGAGAAAGGGACAGCGTGGGTCTCTGTCACCTCCCTGACGTGGTTCTTTACCATCAGAAGATAAATACAGATTGGCAATGCCACCATGTGGAAAAGGAGGTGACAAGAGGCAGTGGCAAGGGAATGGGGCAGAACTCCATGCATGGTTAGCAATGTGAACATGAGCTGGTCAGCAGCTAGGAGGGCATGCAAGGCTGCACAGGGCTCCTATAGGGAGAGTGCACAGGTAAGCCTCAGCAGCGAAAACAGGCTACGTTCCCAGTCGGTACAGGCCATGCCTTTTTCGAGACAGAAAACAATGCCAACTGTGTTTAGTTGGCAACATCCTCTTGGCATCCAAACGTACTAAGCAGAGCAGAGCTTTAGATAACAACAGATTAGCCTTCTCAAAATGTTTTGCTAGGCATTTAATGTGGAAGTGTGTTTATATGAACCCATCTCCAAATGCCCTCATCAGCCATGTCACCTGTCCAGCACTAACTGTGCACCTATCCTGTGTCTCAGCATGCCAGGTGGCAGTCATGTATGACTGTGACCTCAGGCTCCAGGATGCAGGCTTGGAACTCAGCAGTGACCAGTGCTTTTCTTTCATGGAACAAATGCAAGTACAGAGCCTGCCTGGGCCAGGCAGAGCCCTACTCGAACTACAGGCCACCCTTGTCAGGCAACCCAGGCATGAAGCCACAGCTCACCTCAGGGAAGACACTGCCTTCCACCCACAGGGAATGTGGTCTGTGCCACATTCAGGAGTTCACAACCTGCCATGTTCATCTGAGACTGTAAGCTGGGGAATTCCTGCCTCAGTTTAAGCACTTGAAAGTGAGTTGACTAATCTAAAACCACAAATTCAAAATCTATAAATCTGCTGGCTATCACAACACAATCACTGTAATGAAGATGGAACACTTTAATCATCAAAATTATATCTGTGAATTACCATTCACCCATCCCAATATGCATTCCATGGCTTGAAAGAGTACCCAAGCCTCCCCAGGGCTCTCCTACTCTACTGATCAGTTACAACAGGTTCTTTCCCAGAATTGGCAGGTACAAAAGGGACCTTGCTGACCCTTAGCAAGATCTGAATGCCATAAGCAGCAGACAGTGCAGTGCTGCAAAAATACCACAAGGGGAGGAAGAAACATCTAGTCACCTGTGATGTTACCTGGGGCTTAGCCTGCTACACTAGCTGGCACAGCAGCAGGAAAAGCTCAAGTGGCTAAAAAGTCCTTTCCCCACTTTCTGTCTTTTGAAGGCTGGCAAGACATGAGTCTGAGACAGCCTGAAGGTGTTAAAGAAGTGGGGGAAAGGTGTCTCTCCAAAAACTAGAGTGGAGAAGGGGCAAGACAGGAGATCCACAGCAACTGGGTTCTAGCCAAACAGACAGTTCCAAAATAGATAGGAAAGAGGACTGCTAGGCTCCACCTGCCCATCAAAGGGCCATGGCCTGAGTCAGGCAATGCTCCTGGAGATGCCATGCTGCAGACCCCCACCTGTAGGGAGTTAAGAGAAACCGGCTCAATCTGCCAAATAAATTGACATTGTTTATTTTAAAATATTAAAAACAAAAATAAAAATTTTAAAGATGATAGAAATATGGCTCTAGATGTGAATTTTTAAGTTTAAAAAAAAAAGCCCCAGTAACACCATCAAAGAGCAAAAATAAAGCACCACCACTGCCTTCTGCATGCAGCTGTGTAATTAAAGCTTCACAAAGGGTGGGTGCAGGCCTCACAGTGCATGCTATCTAAACACAGCACTGGGGCACACTGGTATGCCACTTGCTAAGCTCCCTCCACAGAGCAGCCAAGTCCCTGGAGCAGCTGCTTGCAGACTGACCCCCACAGGGTAAAGAGCACACTCACTTGAGTTCAGGGTCTGCCTCGTCTTCGCACTTGTGCAGTACGCTTCGATGACCTTCAGGATCTGTGCATCTTCTTCGAGAGCAGCTGTGCCTGTTCAGAGACATGTGAGCCCATCAGCACTCACAGCCCAGAGACATGTGAGCCCACCAGTGCTCAACACAGCCCAGAGCTACGCTGGGCAGTTCAGCAGTTCAGACACTGGCCTTCACTTTCCCATTGTTGGGTCCCAGCCCCCACAGGGTCTCTTCGAGTTGCTTGTCAGCCAACAACCAAAAGTGCATCAGGTGTTCTAGTCCTCCTGGCTTACAGCCCCGGCCTCACCCCACTACACCTGGGAAAACACAAGCTCTTCTTCCATGAGCTTACACCTGGGGTTTTTCCACTGTGCTGTAAGCGTATATAAGGCTGCTCTCTCTCTGGAAAACGACGGACGAATAAAGATGGAAAGACGCACATAGGACAAGCGGCTGGACGTCTCTGCTTTTAACTAAATCTCCAGGCTTTCACCGGATACTCAGACTTAGTCGTGCCTCGGGCGCCACACCCATTAGCTAATCCAAGTTCTTATACTAATCCAAGTAGTTATAAATGGGTATATTAAAGAGCTTTGAAGGTCTTGAAACTAACACACTGCAAAAGGCTAGCACCACAACTCTGTAGAGTTCTAATCCCTCAGAAAGGCAGTTCCCCCACCCATACACTGGAAACAGCATGAGGAATATGCAACCACAGAAGACAACAGCAGTAAGGAGATATCAAGTCTCATGAAGTCAGGAAGTGAGAACCAGAGCCAAGCACCCCAAGTTTCACAGATTGGACCTTGAGACATGGGCCAAGTGTGAGGAGTGAAGACAGGAAACTTCTAGAAAGGCACAGGCCTCCAAAGGGGCATTTCTTCTGACCCAGGAATTCCCAGTCAGACACTAATGTAGGAAATTTACCATGCCAAGCAGAAGCGTCTCAAAGCTCAGCCTTCAGTGTGCCCCTGGGTGCCAGCTTCATCTCCAGGCAGAGGTCAGAAGAACATGTGAGGCAGTGGCAACAGGCATGGCCCTCATCACCACTGTGCTCACACATGGAAGAAAGCTATTTGTATATTTTCCTCCTCTTCTGGTTCTGTCCTAAGTTACTCACTTATGCTTTTTTAATTCACCTATTCTAATAAAAACACAGAAGAATAAAAGGCTGATATTCTTATAGCTGTAAATAATTGTGCCCCAGTAACTTTTATGTATCTATTTGAGACAAGGTCTCACTATGTTGCTTTGACTGCTCTAGAACTTGCTAAGTAAGCCAGGCTGACCTCTTAACTTACAGAAATGTGTCTGCCTCAGTCTCGATTGCTGGGATTAAAGGTATGTACTACTACATCCAATTCTCAGCAACATTTTAAGGAAGTAAATTGTATATAAAGCAAACCAAATATTTACTTCAAGATAGTGGACTGCAGTCCCAAGAGCTAAAAGCCCTTGAAAAAGCCCAAATCCACACCAGCTGGCTACTTCCGAAGAACACAGGAGGCTGCAGCAAAAGCTTCATTCTCTCTGGGCAGTCAGGTGTGAAGGCACCAGCTCCCCTTTCGGCAGCCATAACGGCTGAACACGTGCTTGTCTGACCTTGTCCTAGACACTAGAAAGTCAAACGCCTGCCTCGTGACAAGGAACCAATCAGAAGTTAGCTGATGGCGCTATGCTTTACGACTCTGGGTGTGATTTACGGACAAGCATACAGCAATGACGCACAGAGCATAGCAACCACCCTGGGAGGGCCTATGTGCCATAACAACCAGTTGGCCAATCAATACAGGGCAAGCCCTCCAAGGCTGGAGGCACACCAATCGTGAGCCTGTGCGTACCCCTAGATACTCCCCGAAAGCCTCATGCAGTTTGCAGCAAGCTCTCAAATCCACCTGGTGATTGGGGTGACCGAGGTCGTGGCCTGGGACCCCGGATACCTGAGTTTTCCGGGGGTCTAACAGGTGTGCTTTGTCTGGCTGCTGTAACCAGTTCTCTGCACTCACACTTGGGTGAGCTCGTGTAGATCGCACGGGGCACAAGGGCAGAGAAAGAGCCATAAAGCCACAAACACAGGGCAGGCTCGCTGTGTACACAGCCATGCCAGTCACTCTCCTCACAGCAGCAGATGTTCTTCTGCTGCCATTCAGTGTGGACTACTGCAGACTGTATAATCTCCTGGCCTTCCATGTGCACATGACTTATCATCCAATTGCAGAAGCTTTAGCATAGTGAGGTTTGCTGGACACCAGTCAGGCCCCAGGTACTGAGTGGGGATCATTACCATTTCTTCAACCCTTGTCCTTGCTCTGGCACATCATCCCTAACCTGCTGGGACTTCTTGGTGAGGACATGGGTACTGGACTGCCTGTCCTCTGAGTTCTGAGCACGTGGCTTTCTGCTTGCCCAGACCTCTCCTGCATCAGAACCACAGGCCCACTATCCACTCAATCCTGCCTCCTGGTTTATGTCTCTCCCAACACAAGCCCACCCTGCCAACTGTACACCTACGCACCAATAGGACAGCTGAGGCTCCCTCAGCTTCCCCCCAACCCTGCACCCAAAAGGGGTGAAGCATTTAGAACTGGGCACTGCTCCTATTTGTGTCAACTCTTGAGCAGGTTGCTAGAGGATGCTCTGCAGCATCCTCGGTCTCCATCAACAGACACCAGTAACAGGCACCTGGCTATCACAATAAAATGTTTTTAGGCATTGATCCACATCTCCTGGAGCAAATCTACCCACCTGAGGGCCAGTGCTGTGGACCTGATCTTCCCAGCTTGCCTCACAGCTGGATACAAAGCAGCATTAAATGTCTGCCAGTGACTGAGGTCTGACCAGCATGGCAAATACTTGTTGAATAAGGGCCACCAGGCACACCTGAGCCCAGCCCTCACACTTCCTAACAGACGAGCCACAGGAGAAACAAAAGGAAGATGGGTCTGCTGGGTGGAGCAGAGCAAAGGCAACAGAAGATCACTGCTCCTCAGAGATGCAGACTGGGGTGGGGCTGGAGTACAGGTGATACAATACTGGACTAGAACTAAGGGTGTGAACAAGTCTTACAAAGCAGAGGCAGGCTGGTGAAGCCTGATCCACTCTATCACCTACTACTATTCAAGGCGCAGGCCCTGCTCTCCTCTGCACTATGGGAAGGTCATCTCTTCCACTGTGTGTTACTAAGGCTCATGAGGTGTTACTAAGGCTCCCCCAGGTAGGCACTCACTCTTGCGCACAGCAAACTCCTCGTCTGAAGGTTTCCGTTCAGGCTTGCGCTTCGGCAGCAGCTTTTTCATAGTCTTTGGGCTCTTACTAAGATCCTAGGAAAACACCATTGACAAAACATGCTAACAGGCTCTATAAGAAACTGGCCGACCACCACCAAGCACCTCCCAACCCCATCACCCATTCTTCCATTTGTCTCTGCCAGTGCCAACACAAACCCAAACCAAGAGGCAGAGGACAATTTAGCATCCCTCTGTAACACTCTTCAGTTCTGACGAAAACCTTCCTGTTAACAGAACCAGACCCCATGCATCCCACAAGAGCATACAGTAGTTTAAGGCCTCTGTTGAAAAAGAGAAAGGACAGGCAGCCCGCTCACACACTCCCCATAAGCAGGGCAGGGCTGTCCATTCTGGGCTATAAGGGAAGGAAAATAAGGTTATTTAAAAAGAACAGAGAGTAAAGATACCTTCAGGAAAATATACAAAATCCCAAAGTTAAAAGCAAAGGTAGCAGGCAGGGAATCAATGGCTAAGCGCAGACCAGAGGGGAAAGGACTTGCTGGCTTCTCTGTGCAGGCCTGTGTCCCCAGCTCTGAGCCAAGTAGAGATAGTGTAGCAACAATCTTAGCACTGTCCCTTTGGGGTAAAAAAGGAGTGTGTACACAGCGTGAGGATGAGGTTCAACCAGGAGCACATTAGGGGCAGACACCTGCCTGACTGCTGCCATCACGCAGGGATGAAGCACGTCTAGGGCAGAGAAGACTTTCACAGCTATCTCTTCTGCTTTCATTTGTTTTTGTTGTTGTTTTGAGATGAGTCTATGTAGCCCTCGCTGGCCTGGCACTCATTATATACATCAGGCTGGTTCCCACAGGGATCCTCCCGTCTGCATCTGGGGTGTTAGAATTAAAGGCATCTGCTATCACACCCTGACTGACTTCATTTTTTGAAACATCTCTCCTGTGGTTCATGCTGGCCTCAAATTTCCTATGTAATAGATAATGACCTTAGACATAAATCAGTTCCAAAAGAACTGTACTGTGAACTCAACAGAGCACACCTGAAATACAGGAGCACTCACCAAAAAGACCCTATACTCTATCTCGTACAAGCAACCAGGTCTAGGCTCACACCTACTGGTCACCTGGCTTCTTTGTGACACTCACCAAAGCTGAGCCTCCTCAGGTGAAAGCAGGGTTAGGTGGAGCGCATGAGACTGCAGACACTTAGTGAAGACACAAGTGCACTATGGCTACACTTGGCATGCAGGAAAGAGGAGTGGATTGAAGACAGTTGATGCAACTCCTCCAAGGCCAAGGAGGCACTGCCTTCAAGGACTGCACCATTTTCACTGGGAAACCTACTCTTTACCTCCAACAGCCTCAGACTCTGGGTCAGATCTTGGGCCTAGAGTGACATGCAGTAGGGCAAAGCCCTAGCAGCCTACTCATTCACGAGCACCTCAGGCTCGGTGCCTCCTGGGCACCACCCTGCCAAGCACAGGCACAGTACATACAGGTCCGAAGGTGGTGCAGACCCATCTTATAGGTTTAAAGGTGCCTCCTGGCCCCTGCAGAAGGGGATAGCAGACCCTTTTCTCAGTTCTGAAGGATTCATTGGGGGTCCTTACGCCATAACAGAAACACAAGACTGAACTCACTGAAATGACAAATGGAACTAAGTGCAGACCTTCACACACCCAGATGTTAAGACATGCTCACTGTAGCTGGCAGTCTGAGTGGCTGCAGGACCTCACCTCCTTGTAGCAGAGAGCAGCTGAGGGCCGGAGGGGAGGTGCAGGCCGCAGGCAGCTCAGGCTCCAAGGCTTGGGGGTCTTCGGAGGCTCCAGGGGTCCCCAGCTGATGGTGGTGTGGGGGGTACCATGGTGAGAGGGGTGGGGGAGTGTGTGGTACGCAGGTGTCAGTGCCACAGGCTTGCTGTCCCCGTGCTTGCTGGATGGAGTGATAGGATGGGAGGGAAGCTGCCAGGCACAAAAGCAAGAGCAGAAAGAGCATGAGATGGGTGAGGCCACTGGAGAAGGCCCTAACCACACAGTTTTAATCCCTCGCTGAACCATACTCCTAAGCGATGCTGAGAGATCCACACTCTACACAGGTTACAGCTGCAATGTCACAGTGTGTGAGGAAACTAGTGCTAGCATCACAACTTCAAAACAGGTACTCCTGACTGGAGCATGATGGCTGATGATGGGGGAATCCTCCCTGGAAATATAGTATCACCTGTTAACACAGGGACAAGGAAAACTAAGACCTGTCCCTTGTGCAGAGAGGGGAAAGGAGGGAACAATTTTCTTGGGGCACAGCAGCCAGGTCCATCCCATCTATGTCTCTTTCCTGTTTGGGCTAACCCAGGTGCCACAGAGCTGTGTGAAGGCAGAAATATGGACCATTTGGCCTTCATATAAAGATGTTAATCTCTGGAATAAAGGTATTTTTCACTTAAACAAAATCTCACCTTGCTTGAATAAAAACAGTAATTTGAAATATGATTTTTCAGTGGCATATATTATTAAGGTTTATATTCTTATAAAACCCCAAAATCAACCATGCTGACAATGGGATGAAAATGTTAATAAAGTAAGTGTGACTCAAATGAGCCCCTTGATTTCAGCAGCTGATACAGTTAATGCACAACTGACAGGAGCTATCTGCATAGCTCTGGGAACTGAACAATGGTAAGACACAATCCTAAGGCTGTGAAGGCTGTGCACCATAGAGCTGAAGAACAGTGCCCAAAGCAGCAGGTCACCCACTAGTTGTTGGTTCATGGCACATTATGACACTATGCCAGTACAAAACAAGCTTTCTCAAAATAAGTAATTACAGAGGAGAAAGCTGTATGTACCCCATGGCCCTTGTAGCAGTAATATTGAAATAAATAGCCTTCTCTTCACAACTATTTTTGTTTGTTTTGTTTTCTTTTTTGCTTTTTTAGGATAGAGTTTCTCCGTGTAGCCCTGGCTGTCCTGGAACTCACCCTGTAGACCAGGCTGGCCTCGAGCTCACAAAGATCCACCTGCCTCTGAAAGGTTCGTTCTGTTTTTTCAGTAAAAATAGTTAAGTTTTAAAATAATACCAACTTCTCAACCAAAATGTCCACACAAAGTTTAAACACTAATGCTGACATATTTTGAAATCCCTACCTCTAAAAAGCCAAAGTGCTGCTGAGTTTTTGATTAAGTGAAAAAAATAAAAGATTTGTTTTTGGTTGCTTTCATTGTTTTGTTTTGCTTCTGTTTAGAGTCAGGGTCTCAAGTAGCACAGGCTGGCCTTAATATGCAGAGAAGGATGACCTTGGAATTCAGATCCTTAAGGCCCACCTTTCCAAGTGTTGGGAATACAGCCACATGCTATCAACCCAGGATGGACCTTTGTGTTAAGGAAGACCTCTACCACCTGAGCCCAGGGCCAACCCTGTCATTTCTTAAAGTAAATCAGGAACTGTGTCCAATGCCTTCTTAACACCATTATCACTTCTCTTCTGCTTTTTGGTTTGTTTGAATACATATATAAAGTTTTAAATTCTCAGAAAAATCACTGACAGGGCCAGTGGGGAACCCTCTCAGGTAGCTCTGAGCATCAGGAAGCTTGAGAGGACACATAGAGGTGTCTGTGGGGCAGTGTGCTCTGTGATGACAACTACACAAGAAGGAGACAGGGTTTAAAACTCCTGCACCCACTGACAGCCCCAACCTGAGACACTGCTGTGAGAGCCAAGAAAGGAAGATATGTGGTCCTTACTGTGTGTGATGGCACTGAATGGGGCTTGATGGTGGGGTTGGTCACAGAGGTGACCTTCGTCTGCTTCTGTAAGTGGTCCACCCATTCATGAAGGTCCTGCTGGTTGTTGCAAGACACCAGAATCCGCTCGATCATGCTCCCTAGAGAGGAGGAGGTGGAATTACAAGTAAATGCACACAGGCACATATAGACACCCAGAAGCTGAGGCCACTTTTACACAACCTTTGAAATATGCAAGGCTCAACATTCAAGGATAGGCTGCCTCTCCTCACTGTGACACAGCATCTGCACATGCTTGGCACGTTACCTGATATTTCAAATGCATTCCTATGGTTTTCACTGTCCTCGAGTTTTGTGATTGTCATTCCTGTCGTTGGTAGCTTTCCCTAAAAGAGACCCCCCCCAAAAAAAAAACAATTAATGCTTTTCTTATAGAGGAGGTGCCATTGAGCATCAAATGACTTGACATGTGGCAGCACAGCCACATATACGAAATATCAGCCCATGGTAAAGAACCCAAGTAGGCAAAATGGCAGAGTATGACTCAAAGCAGGACTTTCATCTAGCTGGTGAGTCTGTGGACACAAGACAGGAGATAGCCCCCGCTTCAAAGGACACACTGCAGAAGAACGCACGCTACCTTACAGAAACCCAACTGATGAGAGACAGAGACAAGAACACACACTGAGACACTGTGTGCTGTACTCTGTCGAACAGAAAATACACATCGAGATCAGACAGAAGCCACAGGGTGCACAGGTGACAGTCCAGATGGGACTCTCAACAAAGCAGGGAATGCCAGTTGAGACATGATCGGGACAAAGTTCATGCACTCAACACCTTTCCTTAAGACTGTGACACCTGGTGGCCAAAGACCAAATCTTTATTTACAGAGTCTATGGGTTTTGGAGCCCCAGGAAACAGCTGTTAGCTAAAAACAGGGCTTTATCTATCAGTAGGCAGGACAGTACTTGTGCTCATGAGTTTTTGTCAATTGGACACAAGTTAGAGACACCTGGGAATAGGAAGCCCCAGGAGGAACTGCCATCCTCCCAGTGGCCCCTAGGAAAGCCTGTGAGGCATTTTCCTTGATTAATGGTTGATGCAGGAGGCCAGCCCACTGCAGGACACTCTACCCTTGGGCACGAGGTCCTACAAAGTGTAAGAGAAGCAGCAGGCAGCACTCCTCCATAGTCGCTGTCACTGTTCCTGCTTTCCTGCCTTGACATCTTCACTGATGGATTGTCACTTGGACATGGGAGTCAAACAATCCTTGACTCCTCAAGTTTCTTTTGGTTACTGTGTGTAAACAGCATCCAAAGCAAACTAGGACAACTGCTGACCTGGGGTCAGGGAACATGCAGCAGTGCCAAAACCTGGCAGGTACCCTTAGTATGTGGCAGTGGAGGCTAGAGAGGTGGAGAGGTGTCAGCATCCAACACCACACCACACAGAACCTACTTCCCCATGAATGCCCTAGTCCAGGTTAAAAAAAAAAAAAAAAAAGTCAAGCACTCCAAGCAGTCAAGGGCAAAGCTGAGAGCCCAGCAGACAGCCTGATACCCATGGCTGAGGCAGTGCTGTCTGTGTGCTTTCCCTGGTGCAGCTCAAACCCGTACCTTAGGAATCTAGTGCTGGTGCTGGCATCTCCAAAGCCAGTGGGGGAATCTGCTGTTTCGTTTTTAAGGCTGTTCCTACTACTTAGCCCATACTAGCCTCAAAATTCTCTATTTTTCTCCCTTGCCCCCTCCCCTCAGGTGCTAGGGTTGCATGCATGCCCATGACCCAGCAGTCAGTGCTCCACCAACAGAGATGAGCACTGAGGTGCTGTCTATCACCAGCGCTGATTAGCATGCTCTCGGGAACTGTGTGGAGCACAAAGACAGCAGCATCTGGCCTCATGCCACAGCAAGAGATGATCCCAGCAGAAGTATAGCCCAGACTGAGGCTCTGGGGTACAAAATGGTGCCAGGAACAGGTACCTCTCAAAGGGAGCTGCCACTCTGGCACCTTAGTCACCCAGCCTCTCCTCAGGGGGCCTCACCAATGCAGGCCTTGCATTTCTGAGTCTCCCCATGCATATCTGCTTTGCCGTCTGGAAAGGTACCTTTGGAACAACTGTGGTGACAAGCCCTCCCAGGAGCAGAAAAAAAAACATCTTTCCACTCAGGAATCTACACTCCTTCCCAAAACATAAAAGAGCCCAGTCATACTGAAAGATGCAACAGAATTTCATGCCCTTCTGTATGCTTCGAATATGCACTGGTTTTATTGGTGGATGAATAAAGCTGCTTTGGCCAATGGACAGGCAAAAATATAACTAGGTGGGAATTCCAAACCAAGATGCAGAGAGAAGGAAGGCGGAGTCAGGGAGACGCCATGTAGTCTCCAGGGAAGCAAGATGTGAGCTAACAAGCCATGAGCCTCATGGTTACATACAGAATATCAGAAATGGGTTAATTTATAGGAAGAAGCCTGAACCATTGGCCAAACAATAATACTATATATTAGCCTCTAAGTGATTATTTCGTAAGTGGCTATAGGGACCCAGCAGGCGGGAAAAAAGCGGCTCCAAGCCAGGCGGTGGTGGTGCACGCCTTTAATCCCAGCACTTGTGAGGCAGAGGCAGGCAGATCTCTGTGAGACCAGCCTGGTCCATAAGCCACAGAGAAACCCTGTCTCGAAAAAACAAAAAACAAAAACAAAAACAAAAACAAACAAACAAAAAAAGCTGGTCCAGTGGAACCAGGCAAGACAGAGAAATATCAAACTACAAGAAGTAAACTTGCCAGGCGGTGGTGATTCACACCTTGTATCCCAACACTCGGGAGACAGACACAGGCGGATCTCTGTGAGTGCGAGACCAGCCTGGTCTACAAGAGCTAGTTCCAGGACAGCCTCCAAAGCCACAGAGAAACCCTAACTCGAAACTCTTCCCCCCCCCCAAGAAGTGAAATTACAGATAAGAACTCATAATCGTGACTTTATAGTATCACATACCATGCATATACAGGCATGTACAATGTGAGTACATAAATTCAAAGGCATCCACAAACAAAAACGTGTCAATTTAATTGTCTTTACCTGATAGATGAAACCGCTCATCCTGGGACTGGCAGACAACATGAGCAGAAGGCTTGGGAAGAGCAGGAGATATCGCTCATTCTTTTCCTAATATCAAAAACAATCTGCTCACACATGTACACACAAATCTTCACACAAGACCCTATGGAACTATATACCATATTTCCTAATTAAGACTTCTGCCAAATTATACTGGCAGTACTAAATGCTGACAAAGTATAGCCAAGTCTACATTAGACAGACTGAATCTACACTAAACCCTAACACAACATGGCACTATAACAGCACAAAATACCCATGCCATTACATTTTCCAAGACAGAAAGTAACTAAGTGATTCAAGAGCCCTGAGCTTGCAAGCTCCTGTAAGACATCTTTTTTTCTTTTTAAGGTTTATTTAATCAGGTGTGATAGTGCATGCCTTTAATCCCAGCATTCCTGAGGCAGAGGTAGGCAGGCAGATCTCTATGTGTTCCAAGTCATCCAGGCCTATATACTGAATTCTAGGACAATCATAGCTATGTAACCACAAGACCCCATCTTAAAAAATAAAATAAAATAAAAAATGAAGGTTTATTTATTTGTATTATGTGTATGAATATCTTTCTGCACTGCATGTATGTCTGTGTACCACACTGAGTACAGCACCCAAAGAGACCACAAGAGGGTATTGATCCCTGGAACTAGAGTTACAGATGGTTGTGAGCTGCAATGGATGTGCTGGGAATCAAACCCCAGGACCTTGGGAAGCGCACCAAGTATTCTTAACCACTGAGCCATCTCTCCAGCCCTGTGTGGAGTATCTCTGAATACTACTTGGTAACTTTCTGTTCATGGCCCAGAGAAAAAGAACTTAAAATTTTTAATGAGGGATGGGGACAGGTGGATTTTTTAAGATATAAGAAAAATAGGGCAAAATGTTAAGTAAATGTTGGCTCTCATCTGATAAACATTTTCTGGTTTACATGGAAAACCTAAAGTATTTCCTGTATATTAAATATCATTTGCCTCAAGAAAGCAAAAGTCATAGAGAACACACACATCTAAGAGACAAAAGTCCTGAGAATCTAAAAGTCAAAGAAACAGGCATGAGTCCTCCATCGTTTGAACCACCATCTTCAGATGTGGGTGAGTACAATGAACAGCTTTCCCAAGCATGTTCTTCATAATGTCACACCAATTCTAGGGGTAGCAGGGATGAAGGGGTGTCTGTATCCTAAAGAAGGTGCTGAAAACAACCTATTACGTTCTCTTGAGGGTGCACATGCTGGAAGATCTCTCCCCTTGAGGGCATGACAGCTCTGATTCTCTTTGGGGAAATATCCACCACTGTTAGGGAGACTTAGCATCTTGGGAAATGTTGCATAGTTATCTAAAACAAAACTTAAAAAACACAGCTAAGGGGCTGGAGATGTCTCTGTGGTTTAAGAACACTGGCTGCTCTTCTCGAGGACCTCGGTTTATTCCCCAGCACTCGCATGGAAGCTCACAACTGTCTGTAACTCCATTTCCAAAGGGATGAGACACCCTCTTCTGGCCACTGTGAACACTGCACAAACCTTAGACAAAAACATGCATGCAAGCAAAACACCCACACACATAAAATCATTTGATTAAGGAACAAATTTCTGGAACTCAAAGAAACCATTCTGAGCGAGGTAAGTCAATCACAAAAAGACAAACATGATATGTACTCACTCATATGTGGACCTGCTTTATGATACATAGTAGTAACCATGCTTT